TTCGGATACATCGGAGGACTCTTCGTGTCCACACACAGCCCTATTCTACAACCCAAAAAAAAAATGATGGCCGCTACAGAAGTGCAAAGGAAGAGGCTTAGATGATTAAAGTCTATAATGAAATCCAGAAGCTCATGTGGCTCTGTCCCTCATGGCTAGAGCCCCTAGCGCACGCAATAGCGTGCGTAGCCGCCTGGTGTATTATATTTCACAAAATCCGACGACTTTGGCGCTTCCTTTGCAACCTATTTTGCACCGCAACTTGCATTATTTCACATAGACTAGGTAGTTCGAAACTGTCTTTACCTGTACCTTCGAAGCGAAGCTTTCCAGAAAATGAACGTGTGTTTGCTCACACAGCGTAGGAGACAAAATTGAATTACTCACAAAAAAGGGAAATTTTAGTGTAAAGCGTGTGCCATAATCCTGCATTCCGTAAAATTTTCACCATATAAAATGTTCTTCGTTCAATTTTTCCTACATCAGTGACCTACTGAGACTGTCCTATAGGTAAATTAAAATGCTCTGGGCTCTCATGTGTCCTAAAGCTCCCACGATAGTATGTGACCCCAGAAAGATTCGTGGCACTCGGAACAAAATGAGTTTCACACAGAAATGCTCTTCGGAGCAAAAGGGAAATCCCTAAAACGGAAAGAATGGAAAACGAAGAAGAGTGAACAGTTACGCACACTGCTGATTTAATTTCAGGCGAGGACGCTTACGAGGTACCGCATTCGGTCAAAGCTATCCAGAGAGAAATCATGAAGAATGGACCGGTTGTCGGCGCATTCACTGTTTACGAGGACTTTTTATACTATGTAAAAGGAATCTATAAGGTGAGGATTCCACAGGAACATAGCCCACCGGAAAACGTGGGAGCCCTACGAATAAGCTCAACTTTTCTAATGAGTAACCACATCGGTAGCCGAGGGAGAGATATCGACATGTTCTTTATTATGCTGATTTTGATAAAAAAAGCCGAATTCTACCAACATTTGCTTGCAGCACACAGCAGGAAAAGCACGAGGCGCTCATGCTATAAAGATAATCGGATGGGGTGCCGAAAACGACGTGCCTTACTGGCTCATTGCTAACTCATTTAACGATGACTGGGGAGAGAAAGGTANGTGTGTAACCGACTTTTGGGAAAGGACTCAGTGAAGCTGAAACTTGTATGTGACTTACTCCCTTTCAGTCCTAATTCTCATGAATGATTATCTTACAGGTTACTTCCGCATGATTCGGGGAATCAACGAGTGTGGAATTGAACAAGAAGTAGCCGCCGGGCATGTCCAATTGTGATTATTGTTACATAGCCATATGAAAAGTTCAATAAAGCTTGGTAGAAGTGTTCATTCACGAGAGCAGATTAGAGCTTGAGCGCTAGCTATTCGCTAGAAAGGCAAATTCGATTAGTAATTGCTGAGCGCTGACTAATTGATTGCTTGGCAATCACGTCGCAGCTCGAAAAATCATTGTTTGATAATGTCATTTTGAAGATTTCGTAGTTTGCCCAATGAAGTGGGTCAATCCTGTACTTCATAGGAACTACCCTTCAAGAAATAATTGTGAAATGGCTTGAGTATGCTAGCTACTGTTATTTCGATTGGGTCAATCAGTACCCAATTCGAAAGTCCCGCAAAATGATAGTCCAATGAGAATTTCGGGGAACCTCGTAGTGGGGAGGAGTGTACGAGAGCAAAGTCTCTTTCGTCGGGGGATGGCATAGACTTTATTGTGAAATAATCCCACCCACTATTAGCCATTAAGAACCATATCTAGGACTTCGGGAACTTGGCATCTTCAAAACCAGTAGACAAATTTTTGTGAGCTACTGAATCTCCGAAAATTTCACATCATTATATTCCAATAAGTACTATATTTTGCTCTTGATTCATCGCAAAGGTCGGACTTATACCTATAAGAACAGAACTTCTGCTAGTCTTATCTTTGAAACAGGTGCTGAGCTCAGCTTGACTTTCAATATATGTCCGATAACTTTTTGGAAAAAAATATACGAAGGAAAAATTTAGGGAGTGCCACCTCCATGACTTTCATGGTCATTCCAAAATGAAGAGCAATGAAGAGTTCACGTATTTGCTATTCAGACCTTTATAAAATGCGCTGCTCCAAATAAATATACGTCCATTCATGAGTGGCCCCGAAAATTCGTAATCCCACCGACTTGGGAATTAACTCTAATTGAAAGTTGTGACAAAAATCAATCAAAGACTGCAAAAGACACCGAGTTTCAAATAGAAAAACGCTACATTTTTTATTCTCACTGTTCGAAGAATCCGCATTGGCTTTTTTCTTAAGAAGGTTCGTCAACCCTACGTTTTTTCCCGCCCCTAATTTCCGCTTGATATAACTGCTCTCTTATGTGATGCCTTCTTTTCTAGGTTTCGGCTGAAGGAAAGCCACTGTTGAAATTTGAAAAAGGACATGTTTTCGAGAAATAGAGGCAAGAATCGTTCAACCGGCAAAATAGGGGACGTTCGGATTGAGCAAGATTCACATTATGACTTTTATCAAGGAATGCCTGAACTGCAATGTTTTTAAGTGGAGCGGGCAATACTTCTCACAAAACTGAGGACTTGCTATGGGTCAGAGGCTAGCACCGGTTCTAGCTATCTGTACTATGAGCAGAATAGAAAGGCCAGTTATAGCGCGCATGCTCACTTTGTACTGTCGGTACATCGGTGACTGCTGCGTGACTACATCAACACTACACGAGATGGACGAATTATTTGACATTCTGAACCGACAGTCACAGTATATCAAGTTCACGGGAGAAGTTCCGCATGAAGGCTGGCTTCCTTATCTGAACACGCAGAAAAAGGTTCCAAGTGGAAGGTATGATGTGAAGTGGTATCGAAAAAACCGCTCGAAGAACATCTTACTCCACGCAAAGTCTGCTAACTCTGAAGCTGTAAAATGTGCAGTTATTCGTAATATGTACAAGACAGCGACAGGAATTTGTACAGGCGAAAAGGAACGGGAGGAGTCGCGTAAACTAGCATCTGAGATTGCAAAGTTGAAATGGTTATAGGACACAACACGGAAGATAAGCCTCACAAAAGCATTTTCCAAGAAATGCAAAGAACATGGTGGACCTTCGGCTTCCTTTCTTATCAGACAAAATTAGCGCAGAAATCCGACAATGCATAGTAAGAGCGGATTTAGCCAATGATGTTGTTTCGGTAAAGCTACCGAGAGACCGGGATAACAAGCATCAACTGATCCGCAATAGGCTTTACGACCGTGCATGTCCTACGGATAACTGCCTCATTTGTCCGTTTGGAAAAGACGGAGCTTGCACAGCGAGGGACAATTTACCAACTTCGATGTTCGGTCTGTTACGAAATATTGTACATATATATTGGTGGAACAGGAAGGATGCTCGACATACGTGTCAAAGAACATCTGACAGGAAAAGGCGTGGAAGCCTACTTACACCACTTGGGAGGCACCGACTAGAAGGACATCTAGGCAAAGATTCCGACATTGAATGTAAAACCTAGCCTACGAGAATGAGATCGGTGCCAGAAAGGTACTGGAAGCGCTTCATATTCGCATGAAAAATACAACCTGAAAAGCGGAAATGCGTGCCTGGACCTAACAAGTAAACTCCTGCTATTCATTCCCTTTGGTGGACTTTGGGATCACCCGCATAATTCTTACCTTACGATCACCAATGGTGTCTCACTTGTTGTTTACACAGAATGGTACGTAACGCTGGTGGAACCGCAGAGGATCGGTCACTTTGCTGTGAGCATTTCGAAGTTCGAGTTTCCGGGAGTTGCTGCAACTAGCCTAGCGTACTTGGGCGCTTGGTCGGGTAAGTAACAGAATTGCAGCTTCGCACTAATTTCAGGTTCTGAAGACGACGACTCAGTCGAAACGTCGATCAATAAAGCGGTTCAACCATAACAAACCTATACGACAGAGCAGTAAGGAACATTATGAAAAATGCCAAGGTTTCAAGAAGACCGAACATGGAAATTGGTAGTGTGGAACAATAGTTGATCGATTTATGGGCACATTCATGGTGGCACATGGTACCGCGGCGGATCCTTGAACCCACCGACGACTTGTTTCGGAGTTGGCCTCTTTGAGGATTTCATTGTTGAATTTAAGCGTCTTCCAGTGAAAATAGCTGCGCGCAGCGAAGACCCTATAGAAATTTTAAGATAATTCATCCTTCCAACTTATTCGCTAGTCTCTATAGGCCGATATATCGATCCTCTCGTTCTGCACCTGATAGTTTCGACCACATAGGACATCGTAATTTGCCAAAAATAGACTATTTTAAAAGCTCATGGTCGCTCTCGCTTCCCCTAACTTCTGCGAGTGGCACTCCGTCGTAATGGGAAAAAACTTGTTTTACATGCAGGGAGAAATGTAGTTCCTTCTGATAGAAAGCTATGGATTCTTGCACTAGCGCATAAAATTGAACCTGTTGGGCGAGACTGGAGGCTAACTTACACTCTGGAACCTCCATATCCTCACAAACGTGTGCGGTTCTTTTCGCGATGTGTTGGCTCCATCGTCGCCCTTCCTCGCAGTGGATGACGAGCTTGTTCAAATAGCATAAGAAGCTCTGGTTAGGAGACTCTTTATGCCATCCGTTCTTTCCTAGGTGGTGCTCACGTTATGGGCAAGAAATAAAGTCCTCAAGCAAAGACGATGACACCACTTTCAAGCAAAATATGGGCTGGGAACATGGTAAAGGGGGTTTTGATTGTATAAGTTATTAGGCAACTTTTCCTATAAAGCTCCCTGAAGCAAATTTTGAGCAAATACGCAGAATTCTTGTTTTGCTCGAATAGAGCTCCACCCTTACTCACCCGCTTCGGGACGAAAAAACTTCCCTTGTAATACCTTTCCACTTGTCCTTAAATATAAGGGAGCTCAGTAGATAGCCAATACCCAGCCCATAAGCGTTTTGCATTTCATGGAAAATGCATCCCAGACGATCGTATGCAGCAAGAATACGAACCTTCAGTCTCAGTTCAGATCGGCTCCGTAACTATGTCCGCAGAATCGTTGAGCAAACCTAAGACAAAGCTTCGAAATGAGCGTTCAAGAGCATCTACTATATAACTGTCTTGAGCGGCTACTGCGACCAACCATTCTTCCTTTGTGAGCCATGTACCAATGTCTCGCGGATGGAACGTGATCAATATGTCTGAGTCTATCGTTGGGCGGAAAATGAGGGACACACATTTATGATAGAAAAGCAATTCGTTAACCAAGTCGCCTTAGCCAGGAATCGTGTCCGATTCGATTGGAGTAAGGTGCCTCTTGGGTCTTGCCGATACTCTTCCTTCTTTAATGTTTCGCCTCCAGGTTACTTTTTGCGATGGAAAAGTTTAATTGCGAGGGCCCAGCTCTTAACCGTTTCTACTGACACTTCCTGTGGAAGGATAAGCTTCATCTCTCCCGGACGGAATTTCAGAGACGAGTCATGAGTAGACGGCGATTTCTTCTCGTAAACTTATTCATTTATGTTTTGTCTCGAAGCTCGACTCTTCCGGATATCGAGTCGTAATGCGCCGTGCTCGCCTTCCTTTCTGGCGTCAGAATCGGCACCAGAACCTTCATGCAGGATTCATGTCAGCCGAAGCACCCAGGCGTGTTTTAGTTTGCAGTCTGCTCAAAATCGACCTTTGATCTTCGCCAGCTAACAGCCCCGGCTCGAATCCTATAGGAAACGTGGGAACTCATGGTAAGTTAGATTTGTAAAATGAATAAGTAATTTGGGGGCATCAGCAAGCTGAAGGAAGCAATCGTCGATGCCTGGCACAAAGTTGGCCAGGAACTCATTGATAGCCTTTACTTCAGTTTAGACGGACGACGTATTTTTGAAGTGAACTGAAGGAATGAGGCACAGTTGAATGATGATCGCTTGCTCTTTTTTGTTACCATTGAGCTGCTGAATAAACTGAATCGGTTAGTGGCTCTATTTTGAAACATAGACAAGGTGGCCTTTTGTGGAGGAGTGCAGTTAGAGATTGCCACTGTTCTCAAGATGAATGTGCTGTTGATGTGCAAGTTAAGATCTGAGAAAGACACAATCACTGTACTCGGACTTTCTCTGAAGTTTCCTAGAATGAGAGCTTCGGTGAAATTCGTTGGTGACTGTATCATTTTTTATCACAGTGTATTTCGATGCGTTGGCATCCAAATTATCTGGATTGATGGCTGACGAGGGGATACAGCTCTGCAAAATTTGGCATTCCGGAGCCGGCTCCAGACACACCCACTTCAGTGAAAGAAGAGGAGGTCGAAACTGATGT